CCGGCCAGGGCATGAGTCAGCAGAGCGATGCTACTCGTTCCTGCCTCCTTGGAGCACCGTATCACTTGCCTGCCCAGCTTGCCAGCCAGTCAGCAGTGAGTGCACCTGCCTGCCTTGCCTGCCTGCCTTGCCTGCCTCCATTTTAGTGGCAGGGCCACCATGCGATGCGCCATGACCATTACCAAGCGTTTCATTCGTCGCTCCTTCCAGCTCAGACGGAGCCAGAGCAGCACCTCACAGGTACATGTAGCTCACTGGCACCTGCCCTCGGACTCGCATTCGGACCACAGGTGCCAGCCGGCTGGCCAACTCGGCTGGCCAATTCGCCCGTCCTGTCTTCTGGGTTCACTGCGATTCATAAGGCCCAGCGCACTCATTCTTCAATGGCATCCTCCGGCTAACCCGTGCCGCGTGGACTGCCCGTCTTCAGCTGGGGCTGACGTTGGCGTCGATGACGCCCATACACCGAATGTCAACTTGGCCTGATAAAAGAAAAGCATGCGGCATTGTGAAACAGCGCGTAGTTCCCGACAGATTTCTTCCCGCCGTCAACAAGCTCCAGACTCACGCTACTACTGTCTTATTTCACGTTCTTCTCGGGAAGCCTCATCAGGACACCTCTTTACAGAAGCGCTTTTCACTTGACACCTCCCAGCTCTTCCGACTCGAGGCACCACCGCAGCTCGTCTGAACTCGCCGGCCACTGGCATCTCCCTCTACAACCACCATGTCCCGCTTCTTCCCGCACACGGCATTCGCGGAGGACCAGCCGCTCGCCCGCACCATTCTCTGGACCCACGTCCTCACGCGCGCCGCCACCATGGGTTCCATCCTCGGCCTCGGCACCTTTGCCCTGCGCTCAGCCGCCGGGTCCCGCGTGCCCTTCCTCGCCTACGCGCCCGCCGACGCCGCGACGATCCGAGCTTCCACGACCCTCGCCAAGGCGGCCGCTCCCTCGGCGAACGCGTCGGCAAACCCGCTGCGAGCCGCCCGGCTGCTCGGCACGGTAGGGTCTGCGACGGTCGCGGCGGTGGGTGTCACAGCGCTCATCACGATAGCGCACATGTGGGGGAGGGATGAGGTCGAGTGGCTCGACCGCAGCTGGAGGCTCAGGGCCAACCCGTTTCAGACCGAGGTCGATGACTGGACGTACGGCGCGAGTCTCGCGGCGTTGGGAATTGCAGGCGTGAGCTTCCGCAAGCAGATGGCACATCTCGGGGTGGAGGGGCCTTGTTGGTGTTGCTGGGCTGGGCAGCGTTGTTGGGACGGTGGGCTACATGGGTTGGAGGCACGGCATCAAGGGCGGCACGGTTTGCTGCATGATGCCGCTGGTTGCGTGTGGTAACCGATGCTGAGACTGCAAATGCTGAGACTCGCAAATGCTGAGACTGTAAATGCTGAGACTGTAAATGCTGAGACTGTAAATGCTGAGACTGTAAATGCTGAGACTGTAAATGCTGAGACTCGCAAATGCTGGTCTGATGGGCGTGGTGTAAATTGGAAAGGTCTCTGCTACCATTCATGCCCGATGAAAGAAAGATGATTAGTGATGTCCCCAGATCGGCACTCGCTACCCATGTACAGCTTCCCCGCGTCCTCCACATGGACAAAGCTCTCAGCCTGGAGAAGGAGCTGCTGAGCGCCGAGCACCGCACCCCGCACCTTGGTTGGTCCTGCTTCCTTAGCTGATCGTCGCCTGTACCTCGGCTCGCCAGCTTATACAAAGCTATTCCGTTCATCTTCAATTCCCGTCGATGGGTGCGAGAACAGGCCTCCGACAAGTTTTCTGTGCTCTCTCCAGAAGAAACAAAATTGGTTCCAAAATACCTGATAGCTGGCCATTGATAGACCCTGCATCACCGCATCCTCCATCACCATGGGCTCAGATACTGCCTTGCGCAAGCTCTGGGAGCACCCCGATCCCAAGAGCACCCAGATGTATAAGTTCATACAACAAGTCAACCAGACGCACTCTCTACACCTCCAAGTGAGTCCTCTTCCCTCACTCGTTCTCTTGCTGTTGCGCTAAACATGAATAGACCTTTCAAGACATGTACACCTGGTCGTGTGCCAACCGTGCCACCTTCTATGCCCATGTCTTTACCTTTGCCAATATTATTCATTCTGGCGCTCCTACGAGCATCGTCGACGAGGCAGCCCCGATCGATGCCGTCCCCGTCTGGTTCCCCGGCGTCTATCTTAACTTTGCCGAGAACCTGCTTTACACGCGCACATCGGCAGACCCCAAGGATCACCGCGGCACCAAGGACAAGGAGGACGGCAAGATTGCGCTGACCGAGGTGCGCGAGGGCAACAGCGCCGTTCGAGACGTGACCTGGGCCGAGCTCAGAAGGGAGGCCGGGCGGCTGGCCTCGGCCATGAAGGCGCGGGGCGTGACCAAAGGGGATCGCGTCGTCCTCGTTGGCGCCAATTCATTCGAGACGCTCCTCGTCCTGA